ATTGTTGTCTCAAAGTCTAAAATAAATTCATTTTTCATTATGCTAGTTGATAAAGATTAATCTTGGATATTCTAAATGTTATAAGGTAGTAATTAGAGATGGTAAATTTAAGGAAATCTTCCTTCTGAATATATTGAATAGTATTTAACATAAAGGGGAAAATTGGAAAAAGATAAATAACAGGCTCAGGAGTTTTGATGTAGAATCCCTACAGTGTAGAAGCCCATCGAGTCCACACCAATCCTCCAAAGAGCATCCCTCTCAGACCCGCACCCCACTACCCTATCCCAGTAACCCTGCATTTCCCATGACTAGCCCACCTTGCCTGTATATCCTTGGACACTATGGGGCAATTTAACATGACCAAACCACCTAACCTGCACATCCCTGGACTGTGGGAGGAAACTGGAGCACACGAAGGAAACACATGCAGACACCGGGAGATTGTGCGAATGATTAACTCTTAGTCACTCATTGTGTTAGCAATGAAGCAAACTGTCTGCTCATTATAATGAGAGTACAATGTAGCCCAGCATTAAATATGCTGCTGAGTGGCATCCTGCCTCAAGAGGTGCCCAAGGCTGTACAAGACTATCACGACTTAAAACTCACCTGCACTTCTTAAAAGTGTGTGTGGGGGTGGTGGTGTGCATTCTAGCTGCAGAAGGCTCTCAACTCTTTGTTGAAGAGTCTGTCAGCAGAGCGCCAATGCTGCAAAAATGCAAACAGTAAGCTCCAAAGTTCTCTACTGGCAGAGGGTGAACAGGTGACAATGAGGAGATAGAGAGAAAAGATGGCTATCACAGATATTGCAAGCAGTCTGGTCCTGAGTTTGCACCCAGAAAGAACTTCAATTACCCTACACATACAGTCAAGGTCAGTGAGTACATCTTCAAATGCTCTGTCCAAACGGGTGAGCTACGAACCTCATGCACTGCTCCATTTATCACACACCTGCCTTCCCTGGTAGCCTAGTGGTTATGATTTGGTGCTCTCACTGCTGCGGCCTGGGTTCAATTCCCGGTCAGGGAATGCAAGTCCTTCTCCTCTAGCTTTTGGGCAGCATGGTGGCCCAGTGGTTAGCACTGTTGCCTCATAGTGGCAGGAACACGGGTTCAATTCCACCCTTGGGCAACTGTCTGTGTGGAGTTTGTATGTTCTTCCTGCATGGGTTTCCTCTGGGTGCTTCAGTTTCCTCCCATTGTCCAAAGAAGTGCAGGCTAGGTGGATTGGCCATGCTAAATTGCCTGTAGTGTTCAGGGGTGTGTAGATTTGGGGGATGTGTCTGGGTTGGATGCTCTGAGGGTCAGTGGGACTGAAGGACCTGTTTCCACACTGTAGGGATTCCATGATGATCATCTCTTATCAGGCACAATTTTGACGTTACATTCTTAGCCTCACCTCACTCTTGCGTACTTACAATACCTGAAGCCCTCAAACTCTCATTGCTCAGCTTCACACTGCAACTATTTAACTGTGACAGGCACAACAGTAACTTTTGTTAAGGGAAAATAATGTGGATGGTGTAGACCTGAAATATAGACAAATACAAAATACTCAACAGGCCAGGCAGCATCTGGAGGAAGAAAGGGAATTAGCATTTCAGATTAATGAAACATGTTCTGATGAAAATGCTTTAAATTTAAACCTTAATTCTGTTCCTCTCCACAGACAGGAATAGGAATAGGCCCTTCAGGCCATCAGGCTTGCTTTGCCATACAATTAGATTATGACTGATCATCTCGCTCTGAGCTGCCTGAGATGTTCTCTTTATCTGTCTTCACTTAGCATCTTTAATAGGATAAAAATTCCAAGTTGTTTCCAAAGAGCACTCTAAAACAAAATTTGTAATCAGGATGTTAGCTAAGTGGAGGCTACTATAAGTCAGGGCGATGGGAGTCGGGGTGCATAGGCAGAGTTTTGGATCTCTTCAAGGTAATGAAAGACAAACAGCGACAGTTCAGCCGGTAGTGTGTTAGAATAATTAAGTCTGGAGGTAGCAAACCTATAGACAAGGGTGTCAGTAATGGCTAAAGTGTCAAATCATGTGATGTTCGCAAGATGGGAAAAGGCAGCCTGAATGTTGGCAAGGGTTTGTTGTTGGAGGCTGGTCTTGGGGTCAACATGACAATGAGGGAGTGAACAGACCATTGGAGTCTCCACTGGCTGCTGCCTGAGTATCTTCAGGGTCTGCATCTGCTCACCCTGGAGCCCCAAACTTAGCTTTTGCACACGCACACGCACACGCACATGCACACCAAGCCATGCTGAAGCCGGGGGAGTGACAGCGGTTCTATGTAGCATCAAGCTGCTACCCTGTAGTGCCAGCATCTTTTCTCCTGTCTCTGCCATTCTACCTGTGCCCATGTGCCTTTCTGCAAGACAGACTGCTGTTACCCATTCAAGGTGGTGCTAGCCAACGCTGGGCCTCCTTGAGCCAGAGTTGCACAAGGTCATACTGCAAGGGCTAGCTACACTCTCCCCCAGCAATAACCTTCCTCAGTTACACTGCAACCACGAAGGGAGCACCAAGCTAGGAACAGTCCTCTGGGCAAATTTTGCAGCCTTATTCTGTTAGCCTTGACAAATTTATGACTCTTAGGGCAAATATTGAATGATTCCATAATATGCACACACCACTATAATGTTTACCTTCCCTAGTTCCATAGCAACAGCACCTCTGAAGGATGTAACCAAAGACCCAACCACTTCCGAAGTAAACGTTTTTAAAATTGCTTTATGATGTAAAAATCTGAAGAAACTATGCCAGTTTAACATTATTGTATTTTGCCAAGGGTTTATTTGCAATAGAGTCAATATTTAGAAAATACCGTGGTGAACTGTTAGACAGTTCCATTGAAATATTGAGCGAGTATTGTGCAAACTATTACAAACTATACACCTGTACTTTGTGCATCATTCCCATTTGTGTGCTGTTTGGAACTCATCAAGTTTTATTTATGTCTTCCCTATTAATTCACAAACTGTACGTGGGCCCTGTTCCAATATTTTCATGTTTGAATCCCAAAGGGACATTTTTCTAAGAAAATAAACAAAATGAACAAAGCATTTTAATAGTTTTGAATATCCTTTGTACACTGTCGATAAATGGCACTGAATGGTAAATCTGTGGTTGGCACCTCTACTTGAGCATTACATACAATCATTACAAATATGTAACAGCCTGTGTATTTAACCTCAATTAAATATACAAGGTAGGGCTGATTCTTTGTTGGTGGTATTACAGGGAGCAATGGCTGGAAACTGCAGTAACTGATTCCCTATCTACTAATTTGTTGCAATTTCTGAGCTGGAACTTGGGTACCCAACTGCATCGAACTCATATTTCACCAGGGTTGAGTGGAAGGGAAATTGTGTGTCATACTTGATGGGCAGCTGATGCCCAAACGCTAGCAGTTCGATGTGTACCCAGCCATGTCTTTCATGAGTGTGAAATCGTTCAGAATTATCATTGCACCATGATCTTACAGTTGCTGCTAAATCAATTGCATCGTGCTTTTAGCCTCCTACTTGCTTTAGCAGAGAATGTGCTAATACCAAGAGAGGCCCATTGTAAGCGTGTCCATTTAGTTGATTGCAAAATTTTGCATTAATAAGCAGAAGAGTTTACCAGATTTATGAGACAATAACACTGCAATTATTTAGTAAGTGGTTTGAAGGTCAATTGGCAGTAGCGGCAGCTCTGAATGCACACCCTTGTACAGGTATGGACTAAACACCAAATAAATAAGACTACAGGAATTAGGAGAAGAATTAGGCCATTCAGCCCATCGAGTCTGCTCCCCAATTCAATGAGATTGTGGCTTATTTAATAACCTCAACTCCACTTTCCTGCTCTTTCCTTTGATCCACTTACTGATGAAAAAAATCAGCCCTGAATATTCATATTACTAAGTGGAAAACTATTTATTATGAATGTTAATTGGGGAGAGATAAATGTCAAGTCAAAAGTTGAAGATTATAAACTCCTTAAACTTTGGTCTCCCAATTAGGCCAATTAACGTCGAGAAATTATCAAATTGTGAAGGCTGATCATCGATTTTTTTCAGCCACATGCTAGATTAGAATTCACTGTCTTGGACTGATTGGTGAAAGAACATTGAATTATCGCAGTTGTCCGGCCTATCTTCATCAGAATAGCATTTACACAAATCTGTAACAACCCACTTCCGAAAGCTATTCATTCCCTCTTTTCAGGGATCAGTTTGAATACTTGTGCCATTCAAAAAAAAGAAAGTTTTTGCAAGTTTTTGCACAATATGAAATGGTTTGCAGATTCATACATAGTAGTGCCCTTCATGTTCTTCCTGTAAATCGACATCAATTTTCCACAGTCATTTTGGCTATATTGTTACAGATTAACTGCTACAAGTTATCTGAAGTTGTAAAATTCCATGACCGGTATGCAATCTGTAGAACGTTGTGACAAAGGACACCCCTCACCCCTCCAACCTCACTCCGTTTCCCAGCAGAAACAAATTTACAGATTGGAATCATCTGACAAGTTGCAGCAGTGCATAATATTACAAGGATATCCTTGACTGCGTTATCGTATGAAGTCCTTGACATTCAACCACTAACACATCTTTCACAGCATGGCACTCCACACCTCCAATCCCAGTGATTGCTGCACAGTACAGGGCCAAACACAATGGGTAAGTAACTCATGTACAATGCAATAATAGGGATATGATGGAAATGTCACTGGACCAGGAAACTAGAGGCTCTAACGGTCTAACGGTCTAACGGTCTAGTGACCTAGGTTCAAATCTCTCCACCGCAGTTGATGGGATTTTAAATTCAACAAATAGCCAGTCTCAGCAATGATAAGCATGTCATTAATTGCTGTTAAATACCCTCTGGTTTGCTATTGATCTTCAGGGAAGGAAATCTGCTGCTCACGCCTGGTTTGTTTCCGTGCCAACAGTAATGTGATTATCTCTTAACTTCCTTCTGAAAGCACCTAGCAAGCCACTCAATTCAAGGGCAATTTGGGAGATGCAACAAATGCTGGCCTTGTTAGAATCACCAACTTCTCATGAGAGAATATAAAAAAAGTTGTCAGCCAGTAGAATGGTGTACCTGTTCAAATATCACTGATCATATTTCTCAGCTGGCACTCAGGTGAACTGCCCATCCAATTCTAGACATGACCCCAAGTCACATCCTTCTTAGAAAGCTAGTTTATCACAGCCCAATCACTGGTAAGTCAAAGATAATTAAATAATTTACTATTCCAATCATACTTGTTACAGCTAATACGCCATAATTGTCTAAGGTAGTAAATGCCCAGGCGTTGGTCATCTGCTAATGCCAACAATTAACTACATTCAAATGAGCAGAGAGGGACCAGGAACAGGAGCTCAGATAGCTCTGAATAAGATTACATCGTGTCATAATGACATAGTTCAATTCGATAAATTTGGAGTCAGCAACTTTAATGGTGTTCAAGTGTCAAGGCCTCAAACCTCCAGGACACATTGGATCCATGGAGTACAATGACCTGGATTTTCCAATGGCCACATAATGGCGTAGATGGGAGTTGCACATGGGGGCCCAGCCCTGATCGGCATGTCCTGTCAGAAATGCAGAGCTTCTTTGTTCTGTAGAAGAGGAGTACAATGGCAGTCAGTGTGTGATTGCTACTCCTCAGAAAACCTGGCCCAATGTATTTCGCTGACATTTTGTCAAGGGCCACCATCTTGATCAACACTTTTGTCAAAGGGTTATTCCCCAGAACACTGGAACACAATGCTCCTTGCGTTGATGTAATATGGATCCAAACCCATGAATCCCCAAAGGTTAGGGCTGCATTTGCCTCCAGCTTAAAACGGGCAATACCCACTATTGCCCAGAGGACAGTCGCCAGGGCAATCCCACAGTGGGTCTGATTGGGCCTGTTGCTTCCCTGGCTAACATTAACCAGCCCACACTATAGGAACAATGTGGAGGCTTTGGACAGGGTGCAGACGAGGTTTACCAGGATGTTGCCGGCAGTGTGTTACTATAAGGAAAAACTCGACAAAATTGGATTGCTTTCGTTGGAATGTTAGAGGCTGAGGGACCTGATAGAAATACATACAATTATGTTGAGCATGGATAGGTTGATAATCGAGGTCCAGGGTGGAAATGTCAAAAGCTAGGAGCATAGGTTTAAGGTGAGAGGGGTCAAGTTTAGAGGGGATGTGCGAGGAAAGTTTTTTATACAGAGGGTAGTGGTGCCTGGAACATGCTGCCAGGAGAGATGATAGAAGCACATACAATAGCAATGTTTAAGATGCATTTAGATAGACACAAGAACAGGCAGTGATTAGAGGAATGCGGACCATTTTCAGACTGAAGAGATTAGTTTTGAATGGCATCATGTTCAGCATAGACATGGTGGGCCGAAGGACCTGTTCTTGTGCTGCACTGTTCTTTGTTCAGGCAGAATGTGGAGGGCTAGTTTCTTAATTAGCTGCCTCTGGGACAACATCATTCCATCACAGTCATGTCAAACCTGGAACTGAGCCCAATGTTGGCTCCTGACAATCTTGGTAAAATTGAGCCTGTCACATTGCTCTGGGCAGTCACTGAGTGGAGAATAAATACATGTCCACAGACCAGGAAAGGATAGATAACTCTTTAGGACAGATTGTTACACTGAATTTGTATCTTCTCCAGTTTAAAGAGGCCTTGCCATGGCGGTTAGATAGTCCCGTTTACCTTAATGCAACCTTTCAATGGAAAATTCCAAAAATCATCATATCCCACTGCAGGACAGGCATGGATAGAGGCTTAGCATCTGACAGTAGCACATTTTCCAAAGGGCTTGGGTTAACAAGTCTCATCAGCTTTACATGGCCCTGAGATTTCTTTGTGCTCACTAATGCTTGTTGGCTTCACTGAGGTAGTAGCAATAAAGTGGTCTGCCTTCTTTATGTGAACTGTAAACCTCATGTAAACCTCCATAAACTCATTTATTTAATGGGTTTAATGGCTGCTGCAAGACAAGAAATTTCCCAACTTCACTCAGAGTATACCTACACCAGGTAAACTCCAACCATTCAAGAAAGCGGCTCATCACCACCTTCTGAAGGGCAGTTTTGGATGGATGACCTTGCCATTAAAGTTCCACCTTCTCTGAAAGAATAAAAGAAAAGATTTAGCTAAAGGAAGTTGACTGACCTGACACCCATGTCCCACTGCGCTTAAAGGTTGCTCCATTATCTGTTGACAACTTGAATGGTATCCTTCCATTTTCATACAGCAATGGTGAGATGCAGTGAGCCCTATTTTCAGCATCAACGTAACCTTTTGTACGAATGTCTGACTTGAACCTGAAATGGTATGGTGCTGAAATTTTATCCAAGTGAAACATACAGCAGATAAGACCTTTCAATGAACTTGGGATTCACGAGATCACAGCCTGTAACTCTGAGCAGCAACATCTGAACACAAAGGCAGAGGTACGGACGATAGCGCTGACAGCTATTTCCTGCATAAAGATAGAGCCGAAACTGTCTGAAGCTCACAGATGAAATCAAAGCAGAATGCCAATTTCATACTGAGATAAGGTGAGGCTCAGTTTCTCGCCCTGTCACATTTAATGTCAAAATGTTGTGGATTCTCATTAGAAGACTTGGCAGAAAGGAAAACGAGGCAGGCAGTCCACTGGGTTACAAAAGGGGCATTTCACTGCCAGGTCTTCACCTCTCAATGGGGATGTTAAATCGAGGAGGCCTTAGCTGCCCACTCAGGTGAACATCAAAGATCCAATGCCAGCATTTTAAAAAAGAGCAGGTGAGTTATTCTCAATGTCCTGGCCAATATTTATCTGTCAATCAGCAACATAAAAGCATTCATTATCTAGCCAATGTGATAATTCTGTTTATGAAAGCTTGCAATGATACTTTCAAAATATTTTATTGGCTGGAAAGCACTGTGGGGCATCTTATAGTTCGAAGGTGCTTTATAAATAGAAGTCCTTTCTTTATTAAAAGAATAAGAAACACAAAACTGATTTTTTAAAAATGGTAGAAGCTCACGGGATCTGTGATGACTTGGCAAGTTGGATTCAAAATGAGCTGAGTTAGGCAAGGAAGGTGGTTCTGAGGAAGGGTCACCAGATCCGAAACGTTAACTCTATTTTTTCCTTCACAGATGCTGTCAGACCTGCTGAGCTTTTCCAGCAACATTATTTTTGTTCAAAATTAGCTTAATATGGGTGACAGAGGGTGGTGGTAGATGGCTATTTATGTGACTGAAGCCCAGTGTGCAGTAGTGTGTCATAGGGATCAGTGCTGGGTCCCCTATTGTTTGTGATATTAATAAATGATACAGATGAGAATATGAGGGGGACGATCAGTAAGTTTGTGGATGACACAAAGATTGGCTGGGTGGTTGACACTGAGGAGGAAGGTGTTAGATTATAGGTGCATTTAAAAGGATTGGTTATATAGATAGATCAGTTGTAGATGGAATTTAACCCTGAAAAATGTGAACTGATGCACTTTGGAAGAAGGAACAAGACAAGAGAGTATTCAATGAATGCCAGGACACCAGGAAGCTTGGAGGAACAGAGGGATCTGGGATGTTTGTTCACAGATTCCTGAAGGCAGAAGGATTGGTTAATAGGATAGTTAAGAGGCCTTTGAGGACACTTTACTTTATCAGTTGTGGCATAGATTATAAGAGCAGGGACGTTATGTTGGAGCTGTACAGGACTTTGGTTAGGCCACAGCTGGAATACTGTGTGCAGTCCTGATCACTACACCATAGGAGGGATGTGATTGCAATGGAGGGGGTACAGAGGAGATTCACCAGAATGATGCCTTGGATGGAGCATCTTAGCCACCAAGTGAAGCGGGATAAACTCAGGTTGTTTTCTTTGCAGCACAGAAGGCTGAGGGGGGAACCTGATAGCAGTGTATGTGGTTATAAGACACATGGGCAGGCTGGATGGGGCAGCGGCTGTTCCCCCTAGTCGATTGGACACTAATAACGGGGCCGTAATTTTAAAGTAAAAGGCAGGAGCTTTAGAGGGGATTTGAGGAAAAATGTTTTCACCCAGAGTATGGAATGTACTGCCTGGAAGGGTAGTTGAGTTGGGAAACCTCACATCTTTAAAAAGTACTTGGATGCATACTTGAAGCATGATAACCTTCAAGGCTATGGGCCAAGTGGGAATAGTCTGGTTAGAACATGAAGTTCTAATGAAATGTCATACTGGACTCAGATATCTCACTCTGTTTCTCACTCCACAGATGCTGCCAGACCTGCTGAGTTTCTTCAGCATTTCTTATCTTTGTTTTAGACTTCCAGACTCCACAGTATTTTACCTGGTAAAAGTATTCCTGTATTATCAGGAATTTACCAAAGTTGTGGGAAGGTCAAAAGGTATGGGTACGTGATCAAAACAGAGAAGGTATGATAATCCAGAGTGACAAAAATCAACAAAGATTTTGTGACATACACACAGCAGAAAGTACCATAAGATGAAATTTGAACCTGAAATTTAAGAGGAGCAGGACATCTCAGATTGCCAGGAAGACCATCCAAGTCAAGAACCAAGTTGCACAACACAGATTACCATTCAAAATAAAAACTGAAACAACTGCGGATGCTGTAAATCAGGAACAAAAACAGAAGTTGCTGGAAAAGCTCAGCAGGTCTGGCAGCATCTGTGAATGAAAACAACAGAGTTAACGTTTCGGATCCGGTGACCCTTCCTCAGTTCTGAAATGTTAACTCTGTTTTTTTCCCTCACAGATTACCATTCGTCCAGGTCAAACAAAAACACATTCTGGGAGAGACTTGAAACCTCCAAACCAAGTGAAGCTATGAAGTCAGAGGCTTGTGGGAAATGGGGTGGTGTGTGTGTGTTTGTAAATGTAAAAATATGAATGTGTGTAATAATATAATAATGAGGATGAAGACTTGAGGGGCGATGATGCATGCGAGCCTCAAGGGGTTAATATTTGGAAGAGCATGATTCACACCACCCAGTGTGATGATGCCACACACAGACAGTCTGGGACAGTCAGTGGAGAGATACGGAGGGATTTTAGCATGAACAGTAGTACAGATACACGGACTCATATAACCCAGATCTAGTTTGCTGCAATGCAACAAATGTCTTAGTGATTACCCAGCTCCAGAGCTTTCTGTAAGTTACACCAAAGAGGTGGATTGCTCCATCTACAACAAAGCATTATATCTGTTCATGGATGTTCTTTGAGCTGGAAGAAGGTTTGTGGTGGAGTTCACTAGACATCAGTGCTGGGACTTTGCTTTTCCTGATATATATTAATGACCTGAACCTTGTTCTTAAGTGCACAATTTCAATATGTGTGGTTGATACAACACTTGGAAGCTTTGTAATTTGTGAGGAAGAAAGTGCAGAACTTCAAAAGGAAATATACAAGTTGGTGGAATAGGCAGTCAGATGGCAGATGAAGTTCAATGTAAAAAAAATGAAGAGATTCATTTTAATGGGAAGAATGTGGAGACATGATATAAAATTAAAGTTAGAGCTCTAAAGGGATTTCAGAAACACAGGGAATTGGGTGTATATGTGCATAAGTCACAAATAAATGTGGCACAATAGGTTGAGTGAATGATTCATAAAACGTACAGTATCCTGAGCTGTATAAACAGGGGTACAGAGTATAGGAGCAAAGAGGTTATAATGAACTTCTTTTTAAAAATTTTACGCATCAGCTGGAGTATTGCATCCAGTTACAGACACCACACTTTCAGAAGAATGTGATGCTTTGGAGAGAATGCACAAAAGTTATGAGAATGGCTCCAGGGATAAGGAACTTCAGTTGTGAAGATACCTCGCGAGGTTAGGACTGTGCTTTCTTAGAGAAAGGAAGGAGAATAGAAATGAAGCTCATGAGAGGACTACACACGGTAAATAGAGAGTTACCACTCATGAAAGGATATGACAGATTTAAAGTCATTGGGAAAAGAGATGCATGAGAAAGCTTTCAGGTGCCGTCAGGAGTGACGTCTGGAATGCATTTCCTGTCAGTGTAGTAAAGGCAGATCCAATTGATACATTCAAATGAGAGACTGTTCATTGAAAATTAACAATGTGCAGGGTTACAGAGACAATGCCAGAAAATGGCACTAAACGAAATGCTTATTTGGAAACGAAATGGGCTGAATGGCCTCTTTCTGCATTGTAATAATTCTGTGAAATCTGTGATTCATATCAGACAACTTCATTCCCATCCCAGGCTCTGTATCATTGCAATGCAATAGCTACTATGCATCAATATTTGGTATAACTGAGATCTTGCAACATTGCCTTTTGAAAATAGGTATTAATTAAAAATTATCCAAATTAGACGACCAGAGTAAATGGTGAACTGTAACAAACAGCGGGAAAGAAAATCAGGCAGGTTCTAGATCTGCAATATCTGTTTTACATATGGAGGCAAAGTGAAAAGAGCCTCAGGGAGCGAATGCAGATTCTACATCAAGCTTGTAACCAATTGAAAATCTATCCTGATGAATAGCGATTAGGCTAATCCAAGCTGTAATCCAGTTTATACCCAACCGTTTAACAAATGATACATTATGGAAATAACACTAATTATATTGTAAAATATTCTTATCTCCGGATTATAAAGAAAAAAAAATGACCATGTTTTTCTGTAGCATATTCAAAATTAAACACACCTAATATTAACTAGTCCTGAGATAGGCTGTTTATAGACTCACTTGCAAACTATCTTGTCTCGAGCATTAAATGTTGCATTAACAATGACAAAGTCTGCTCCTCCCATTAAGGTTCCAGATTGAGGAGACACCCGGAGACAGAAGTCCCTGTAATCTGGACAACATGTAGCCAACGATCCGCACGTCACGTGACAGGAACAATCAGCCAGCTTTTGTCCACAACTGTTTTGACATGAATTCTGAGCACCTGAAAATGAAAAAAAAGACATATTCAAGATTGAATCATATACTTTCAAGTTCCCGTGATTGAAGCGAGTGATGGAACAGGATGGATTGGTTGGAGGGCCAGTATCTCTTCCAATGGTTTTCATGAGCCTATTATCCTCTCGCCACCCAACATATTAACTTGACGACACTTCCGTATACCTTCGATTCTTGTTAGAATTCTATTCCAATCTCCTGCAGCGAGTAACTCACCTCCTGACTCCCCAAAGCATGTCCTCTACAAGGCACAAGTCAGGAGTGTGATGGAATACTCCCCACTTGCCTGGATGAGTGCAGTCCCAACAACACTCAAGAAGCTTGACACCATCTAGAACAAAGCAGCCCACTTGGTTGGCACCACATCCACAAGCATCCGCTCCCTCCACCACCGACGCCCAGTAGCAGCAGTGTGTACCATCTACAAGATGCACTGCAGAAATTCACCAAAGATCCTCAGACAGCCCCTTCCAAACCCATGACCTCTTCCATCTAGAAGGACAAGGGCAGCAGATACATGAGAACACCAGCACCTGCAAGTTCCCGTCCAAGCCACTCACCTTCCGGACCTAGAAATATATTGCCATTCCTTCACTGTTCGTGGGTCAAATCCTGAAATTCCCTCCTTACGGGCATTGTGGGTCAACCTACAGCACATGGACTGCAGTGGCTCAAGAAGGCAGCTCACCACCACCTTCTCAAGGGCATCTAGGGATGGACAATAAATGCTGACCAGCCAACAATGCCCACATCCCACAAATAAATTTTTAAAAAGCCCTCAACCATGTCTGTTCTATTTCACTCCCTTCTGCTCAAGCCTCTTCCCCACTTCCCAGAATAACTATCACGTTCTTCCTGCCTTCATCTTCTACACCAACAGTCTCTGTATTAAGCACATCCTTTGCCAATTTTTCCACCTCCAAGTGATGCCACCACCAAACACAGCTATCCCTGCCCTCTGCTTTTATCATTCCAAAGGGACTGATCTCTCTAAAACATTCTGGTCTACATCTCTGTCACCCCCAACACCCTCTCCCTTTTCTGTAGCATTTCAAAATTAAACACAGCTTATTTGATGAGTAAGAGGCTTTTAAAGAGGTGTTGATTAGAGTGCAGGACAGACATGTCCCTGTGAAAATGAAGGATAGAAAGGGCAAGATTAGGGAACCATGGATGACAGGTGAAATTGTGAGACTAGCCAAGAGGAAAAAGGAAGCATATATAAGGCCCATGCAACTGAAAACAGATGAAGCTTTGGAAGAATATCGGGAAAACAGGACCAATCTGAAACAAGGAATTAAGAGGGCTAAATGGGGCCATGAAATATCTTTAGCAAACAGGGTTAAGGAAAATCCCAAAGCCTTCTATTTGTACATAAGGAGCAAGAGGGTAACTAGAGAAAGGATTGGCCCACTCAAGGACAAAGGAGGGAAGTTATGCGAGGAGTCAGAGAAAATGAGTGAGATTCTTAATGAGTACTTTGCGTCGGTATTCATTGAGGAGAGGGACATGTCGGATGTTGAGGTTAGGGATAGATGTTTGATTACTCTAGGTCAAGTTGGCATAAGGAAAGGGAAAGTGTTGGGTATTCTAAAAGGCATTAGGGTGGACAAGTCCCCAGGTCCAGATGGGATCTATCCCAGGTTACTGAGGGAAGCAAGAGAGGAAATAGCTGGGGCCTTAACAGATATCTTTGCAGCATCCTTGAGCATGGGTGAGGTCCTGGAGGACTGGAGAATTGCTAATGTTGTCCCCTTGTTTAAGAAGGGTAGCAAGGATAATCCAGGTAATTATAGACCGGTGAGCCTGACGTCAGAGGTGGGGAAGCTGCTGGAGAAGATACTGAGGGATAGGATCTATTTACATTTGGAAGAAAATGGGCTTATTAGTGATAGGCAGCATGGTTTTGTGCAGGGAAGGTCATGTCTTGCCAACTTGATAGAATTCTTTGAAGAAGTGACAAAGTTGATAGATGAGGGAAGGGCTGTAGATGTCATACACATGGACTTCAGTAAGGCATTTGATAAGGTTCCCCATGGTAGGCTGATGGAGAAAGTGAAGTCGCATGGGGTCCAGAGTGTACGAGCTAGATGGATAGAGAACTGGCTGGGCAACAGGAGACAGAGAGTTGTATTGGAAGGGAGTTTCTCAAAATGGAGAACTGTGACCAATGGTGTTCCACGGGGATCCGTGTTGGGACCACTGTTGTTTGTGATATACATAAATGATCTGGAGGAAGGTATAGATGGTCTGATTAGCAAGTTTGCAGATGACACTAAGATTGGTGGAGTAGCAGATAGTGAAGGGGACTGTCGGAGAATGCAGCAGAATATAGATAGATTGGAGATTTGGGCGGAGAAATGGCAGATGGATTCAATCCAGGCAAATGCGAGGTGATGTATTTTGGAAGATCCAATTCAAAAGCGAACTATACAGTAAATGGAAAATTGATACACAGAGAGATCTGGGTGTTCAGGTCCATTGTACCCTGAAGGTGGCAACGCAGGTCGATAGAGTGGTCAAGAAGGCATACGGCATGTTTTCATTCATCGGACGGTGTATTGAGTACAAGAGTTGGCAGGTCATGTTACAGTTGTATAGGACTTTGGTTCGACCACATTTGGAATACTGCATACAGTTCTGGTCACCACAATACCAAAAGGATGTGGATGCTTTGGAGAGGGTGCAGAGGAGGTTCACCAGGATGTTGCCTGGTATGGAAGGCACTAGCTATGAAGAGAGGTTAAGTAGATTAGGATTATTTACATTAGAAAGACGGAGGTTGAGGGGGGACCTGATTGAGGTCTACAAAATCATGTGAGGTATGGACAGGGTGGATAACAAGAAGCTTTTTCCCAGAGCGGGGGACTCAATTACTAGGGATCACGATTTCAAGGTGAGAGGGGAAAAGTTTAAGGGAGATATGTGTGGAAAGTTCTTTACACAGAGGGTGGTGGGTGCCTGGAACGCGTTGCCAGCGGAGTTGGTAGAGGCAGGCACGATAGCGTCATTAAGATGTATCTAGACAGATACATGAATGGGCAGGGAGCAGAGGGATACAGATCCTTGGAAAATAGTTAACAGGTTTAGATAGAGGATCTGGATCAGTGCAGGCTTGGAGGGCCAAACGGCCTGTTCCTGTGCTGTAATTTTCTGTGTTCTTTGTTTGTTATATTAACTAGTCCTTAGATAGGCTGTTTACAGACTCACTTGCAAACTATCTTGTCTTGAGCATTAAATGTTGCATTTAATGAGGAAACAGCGATTTGTATATTTGTGTCGTGGCAATATAGTATATTTTGTCATACAATTGTAAAAAAGAAAGTGCTTGAGAGAATCAGCAGCTCTGGCAGCATCTGTGGAGAGAGAAAAAGAGCTAAAGTTTCAAAATCAGTGTGACTCTTCTTTGGAACTGGTCCAGCATCTGTATTTTTTTTAATTTGTGTGTTTAATTCACTGTCACTTCTCTTCCTACTATGGCCAACTTGAAGAAGTTCTGCTCTTCCCTACAACAAGATTTCGTTTCAAATCTTTCAGCTTGTTCACCTTCACTGCTTTGTATTTCCCTCTTTGTCTTCAATTAGGTGTTTACCAAAACCTACTTTTAAATTTCCTTCCTCAGTGATAATCTCCAGCTCTGACTTATTCCACGTGGATTCAACTGGAGTTCCATCCTTCATGTTTTAAATCCATCCAGGATCTCCATGATGTACAACACTGCTTGAGCAACGATTCTCACAACATCCTGAGATCCTCCCCTCAGTGCTATGCACTTCCACTAGCTCAACCTCTCTCTCTCCATCAGCATAACCTCATGCTATCTGTCCCGGTACCCCATTCCATTTCAATTTTTAGAAAAGTTCGAGCATCTGCAGTGTTTTACTTTTACAATTAGTTCTCCTATAACACAATAGTTGCATTCTGTGTGACCTCGCACTATAGAAAATCGCGTTATAGTGAAATCACTATAGAAAACCTCTATACTTATACAGCAGAAAGTTTGTGTTATCCAAACAGCGTACACTATTCATCAACCATGCTCCACCAATTTGCATTAACGAAACACGCATTATAGCAGAGCTACCTGAATGTTAGTGGATTACGTTCACTGATCACAATTAATTTCTGCACACTGGCAAGACCAAACGCAGAGTGGGTGACCACTTCACCTGGATTCGGTTCAAAATCATGACCTTGAGCTTCCAATCACTCATGTTAATTCTCCACGTTATTCCCTTTCTGCCTTTGGCCTGCTGCAGTGTTTGAATGAAGCTCAATGCAAGATTAAACAACAGCACCTCACCTTTTAACTGAGCACTTTATAGCCTTCCAGAGTCAACACTGATTTCAGCAATTTTAGAAGTTATCCCCTTCCCCACATTTAGTTTTACTTCATTTTGCAGGTTTTGTTTCTACCTGGTATCATTTACACTTACTCATGATTCTGTCTTTCACACCTCCTCTAACGACATCAACGTCTGTTTTCCCTCCGCAGATGCTGCCAAACCTGCTGAGTTTCTCCAGCAATTTCTGCTTTTGTTTCCTTTGAACACATCATTTCATCCTCCGCATCACTTCAAGGCTGATTGCCTTGAGTGCCCAGGTCAACATTTAGCCCTTAACTAACATGATTTAAATGGATTATCCAGCCATTCTCATATTACCGTTTGTGGAAGCTATTTGCGTCCAAATCATTTATCATATTTCCTACATTGTCAACAGTGACTACTCACCTAGCCAGTTGCTCCATGGTGTGCAGACATTTCATTCCCATTCTGGGCAACATCATCAGTGCAACCTCTAATCGAAGCATTGGCGTTCTACTCCATTCTGAATTTATATGATCCCCTAGACTGGTGGGTCTTGTCACTTCTGGTTCTGTTTCTGAGCAGGGGTCTATTTCCATGTGTTTGTTAATGGGGTCCCCTGTTGAGAACCAGGCCTCCAGAAATTTCCTTGCAAGTCTGTCATTCGTTTGTAGAGTGA